TGATTCAGGTCTTGATTCAGGTCACCTTCAGTAGAATTTAGGAATATTTGTGCTTAATTTTGACGAAACTTGCAGTAAAGATTCTTCACACGTGCGCCGACGGCTGCGCGGTGACACTTTAACTGCACCGGCTGCTCTCTAAAAACTGAGTACTCTTTTACAGGACCAAAAACCCGACGGTCCCTGTAGGTTTCAGAGGCATATTGTAGTGCTACAGCTGTGATTACAGTAGACCTACTACTGCCACGCACCGCCTGGGGAGGAACGAGACAGAAAAGTGGGACACGGAGCTACAGTAAAGAGAACAAAATAAAGAGTTGATGAGGTGAAAGAAAGAAAAAAAAAAGAGAAGAAAAGAAGATAAATTAGAGCAGCGGAGAGAATAGAGAGAATAGAGAGAATAGAGAGAATAGAGAGAGGAGAAATGGGGCATAAAGCTAAAGTACAGAGAAGAAGTTGACAAAATATAGACGGAGGCAACAGCGTGAGGATGAAACCGAGAGGATGAGGGAGCTGACAGAAGCTTCTTCAAGTCGACTGTGAATCCAACAACTTTTGAATATTAACGTTGAGGAAATTAAAATGCAAATTATGTGCATTTCCATTAGGTACGCTGAAGCGGATAAATCAATCTCCTGTGGAAAACAAAAAGGCTGAACGACGTCGGACAAATATTCTTCTACCGTTTCATACGAAAACACAAACACGACATCCAGCTTTTGGACGTTTTCCAACATTTGCTCGTAAATTCAGAATATCCAGTCGCACATGTAGATCCACATTGATCCGGTAGGAAACACATTTAACTTTCAATTAATTCAGAAAAATGACAGAAAACACCATCATTCACAGCTTTGGTTGTATTATGTCCTTTAAAAATGAATATTTGGGGATTTTGTTGGTGACAGATGATGAGAAATTAAAAAGACGCCATTATTTAACCGTTTATTTTACTATTAAAGAACTGTTTTCTACACATTATAGTCACTTAAAAATTAATGTACGAACTAAAACCAAGATTGGCATGTGACTTATTAATGAAATTGTTCTATTTATTGACAGGTTGGACCTTAAACTTTGCATACTGTTCATATTTTATGCATTCCTTCACAGTAAGTGTCAAATTTTAAACTACAGATCTATTTAGAACGTCTAAACAGGCTATGACACATTAATAAATGTAAATAAATCATGGCTTGCACAGTTTAAACATCCCTAAAACCACCATCTTCCTTGATCTGACCCACACTGGAGGATCTAAAATCCATCTCAACGGATATACGGGTTGAATTTAGTTTCATTTTGGGTCACTTTAGGAAAAATCATCACATTTCAGGCTAAAATAATAACGTTTAGGATGTTTTAACTGCTGTTTTAATGGCTCAGATTTGACCTGTAAGGGTTAAATATGATGCATTACTGTGTTTGGGAAACTATCTCCTCACATATTAGACAGACAGACGAGAATATTTCTACTTAATGGACTGATTTAGTCGATGGAACTTCACAGCACAGCTCCGGCAGAGGGAACACAGAGGACGTGATGGGCAGCGAGTGGGAGGACATGTGACAGACAGAGACAGACAAAGAGATGGAGAGAGTCGGTGTCACCTGGCAGCATGTGTGGCGTCCTACACTTACTACAATAACGCTGACAGGACAGGACGGAGCTGGCAGCTCTGGACCTGACACAGCTGCGCTATGCAGCACTACACCAGGCTGCAGGATCCACACACACACACACACACACACACACACAGTGCTGAACCAGCCTCGTTACAACCAAGATCTTAGCTTAAAGACCCGAAGAGCAGATTCGTGGTGTAATTAATGAGCCGTATCGCCACCGGAACAGACGGCAAATGATGTTCTGAGAATCTCACAACTGGAGTTCAGAGAGAAAGCACCGTTTGTGTTCCCAGTGGGACGGAAACACACAACAAACACACAAATATACGGACCGGCATCCCTCCGTCCAGCTTCGGCTCCCTTTAAAATGAGGCCAACAGCTTGACAGACAATAAACTGTGCTGCAAAGTGGGATTTTGTACGGTTTTCTGACAAAATGAATATAAATTAGTGCAAAATGTCATCGTTCAGTGGTATATTTTCATTAAATTAATTCATTTAATCCCGTTAAAGGAGAAGAAAATATCCCAAAACACACTAAGACATCACTATAGAGGTCCAATTTATTAATAAATATAATTATTCTCATTAAAATGTGCCATAACAAGCCTTGTACATTTATTTTTAAGCGACAACAATGTAAGAAAATAGTCCAAAATGGCGTCTTTTATGAAAAACTCTGCTTCTTATAACTGATGTAAGTTTGTGCCTGAGCTTCACCTGATGACAAAACTGATAAAGAACAGTTTCCTTCTTGGTCGTATTCACTTGTTTCCTGCCGATAATCCCTCCCGCTGTTCTCCACTAAATGTGTTGACAACAGATTTGGATTTCACAGCCAATGCTGGATAAAAACCATCAGGTGGTTGTTTTTTTTTTCCCCCTTTGTTCATTTTCTTCACAACAGCTACAAACAGTTCAAGGAATTTGTAATAATACACTGATCGGCCTAAATCCTCTGTTTTGACTGACGTTGGAAGCTTTGTGTGCAGGAACATTATGAGGGAATTCACTGAATTCAGAAGCCACAGACTGTTTTGTTTTCCTGCTCTGGTCTTGGATTTCAGCGGTACTTAATCGCTCTAACGTTCAGAAATTAAAAGGTCTCGCTATCCGACGTTATTTCAGGTGAAAGACGAGGAACTGCTGGAAACTGTCAGGTCGGATTAGGATGAAACAAATCTCTAACAGAGCATGTGTGCGTTTGTTTTTTTATTTTTTTGGTTTTTTACTTCCTGCTGATGTCAGGAGTCAGAGAAGCCCGCTGGCCCGACCTGCTGCACACAGCGAGACATCATCAATAGCCCGACTGTGTGTGTTATCAGCGCAGGACGGTTACCTAACCAGCGGAGGATTCGTCAATAAGCCTGCGTGCGATGCCGCATCGATCAGGATGAAGCCAGCGAAGGTGGAGATAAAGTCAAAATCGGACGAGGCCAAAGTTTGGTCGCCGAACAAAGGAGCCGTTGTGTGAAGTCTGGGAGCCGCTTTTACTACCGTGAGACGCTGAATATATGCAAGGTTACAGCTGAATGAAAGAGGACTGATGGCTCTGCTCTGATGCCAACGAATACATAAAAAAAAAAGAAGCAAGCGGTACACGCAGGACATTCAAAAGCCATTATGAGTCCATTAAACGATTAGCTGACAGATAAAAATACATATCTGAGGGTGTCACCTTGGGCCACGGGGGCTTGTGGTGAACTTAGTCGACCTTTTGTTGACATTTTATCAGCTGCAACCTAAAAAAACATTATCTTTAATGACATATTTTGCTAACTGATGATCTTCTGTGACTGCTGGAAGAAGCGAGTAACTCCAGGTGCTTTTTTTTTAATATTACTGGATGCAAGATGTGTTTGCAGCCACACATTAAGACACCACACACACAAATCAGCTGTTTGAGGGATTGAATCTGGCTTTTTTTTCTTCTGAAATTGTTCCGCTCTAGAGATTTTATCAACCCTCAGCGCTACGTGTTTACGTCGATTTAGCCAAAGATGCTGTGACACTGGAATTAAAGCGACGTCCTCCAGCGAATGACGACATAATAACACTTTTTTCCTGAACTATCTGAGAGGTTAAACTAAAAAAATACGCAGTCCCACGTTTCATTTCAACGCTGCGTTATTTACAGTCGTTCCACCAGCAGAGCGGAACAAGAAAACACTTGCTTGAAAACAGTACGCAAGCCCGAGGCAAAGTTTCTCACTCAATTTTGTTTCATTAGATCGCTCTCAATGAACACATGCATCACACACACACACACAGAAATAGATGCAGCAGCAGCAGCAGGCCAAGCTCAGACAGGAAAGGGCCTAATCTCATTAGGGCCATGAATGCAACACATGTAGTTAATGCATGACCCTGGATGTCATTAGACGAGCATACAGTGACGTACATTACTCCGAGCCGTTAGCCCGGTTAGCTCCAGCCGACCGATGATGGTTATATTACACTGACGCAAAGCGCGGCTCATCGCTCGGGCAGCTTAGCGGATTGAATGTATGAATGCATCCTACGCTGACCGTACAAAGGATTTAAATGACCCATAGAACTGGACGGACAAGTTTGTTATTAGTCAGCCCTGCAACAAACCCGGTTAGCACTCAGCAAACTCTTCCTGAACCGATGCAGCGTCTCGTTTCAGCTCCTTAACCTGCATCCAGCTCCACGTGACACCCAGAGGGTCAAGGTTCAGACAAATACTGCATCGCAAGAGGGTTAAAACAAATCAACTCAGCTCAACAAATAGTCCCGACGCAGCAGAACTGTGAATAAACACGCCGGCTGAGAGTGAAATCATTAAAATAAAAGGACAAACAGTTGAGGATAATCGCAAAAATAAAAAAGCACAACCTTAAAGCTCGTGGGCAGCTAATTTCTGCATTAAAAAAATCAGGTGACGAACTCATAGATTGGATGAACGTGGGCTGAGACACACAGAAGCCACTCACCTTCTGTAGGCTGGTCGGGTTGAGTTGTGTTTTATCGATGATCTTTATTGCAACCTGGTGAACAAAATAAGCAAAAAAAAAAGAAATGAACAGAAGTATGTAAATAGAGAGAACAGATTAATTCAACAGAGAGAGGCTACAACAAATCCTGACGGTTAATCTTAACAATATATTTATTATAAAAGGTATAAAAATTAATTTGTTCCGGCTTCGATTAGGCTAATTAATAAGTAAAATAACTCTTTTTTGTTTTGCTTTGTGCCATGTTTTTGGACTCATGTAATTAGACTATGATATTCATTTTATTCTGCTGTACTTGATATATGCATATAATTATTTATTCTACCCATTAACTGTATTTTCCCTGTTTGCGTGTGTTGGCATGAAACAGCCCAAGACAAATTTCCCACGCCTGGGACAATAAAGTTAATCTTGATCTTGATAAATAAGGTTCAAAAGGTTCTTGGGCATTTAATGGTTTCTTAAAAAAAATAAAATAAATAAAGTACAGTAAGATAAAATTTCATATCACAGCATCAACAAATCTTCCAAATTTAGAATGTATAGAGAAAAAGTTGTAGAGTTTTTGATTGAAAACTGAATTTAATGATTCATTTATCAAAAAAAGTTGCTGATTGAGTTTTTAAATAATTAACTGACTAATAGTTTTAGGTCTAAATGCGCTTATTGTAACTCCTTTGGGTTTCTACGCTTCATTAAATCACACTTGTTGTCTCTTATGAGAGGAAAAACAAACGTGACGACAAAAGTAATAATAAATAAAAATTCTATGAAAATCATGACGTTGCTTTTGAATTGTGGTTCAACATAAATATAAAAAAAAACAAGCCTGATGGGACCCATAAACTAATATTTAGTTGATCAACTCTTTGAGTCAATCACTGCCATCATCAGGTGTTTCTGTAACTCTCAGTCAGACTTCTGTTGACAGGTGTTTGGATTTCACTGCTCATCAGCAAAGCGCTCTAATTCCAGGCCAGGACAGTTTTTATTTCTTTATTTTTTTTAAATTATTCTTTTCAACCACAACTAAAAAGCAATGTCATATTTCACTGAATTATAATTTTGCAAATTTTTATTTATTATTACTTTTTTCAGTTTCTACTTATTTGAGTGACTATTGTGAATTTTGCCTTTTCTTTAATGGAAGGATGTGAATACACTTGAGGACGACTGTATCAATAAAGTTATTTCATCCATTACTCAAAGTACAAAGTATTCAAAACACGCTTTGCTTTCCTGCTTGTTAAAAACACAGGAGGTAAAATCTAATAAATAAAGCAAACTTTGGGAGAACAACACGATGACCCGGTCAAAGAGTCGAACTACCGCCGTAAAACCACCAGATATACGACCGTCTTCTGGTTTATGTGGGTCCAACACATGATCCCGCTGGTGGCAAACACGTCACGTTTCTCCAGCCTCGAGTTATCAACCCCGCCGATGTAGGTCAGAAAGTTTTATGAGAAGAAAGGCTGCAGTGTGTTTAACGCATAAATACACGAGCACAAAAAAGAAAGACGTGACTGTGCCTCTTCAAAGGGTTTACGGCCTTCGCTGAGCTGCAGGCTTCGGCTCTGCCTCCCCGAAATACAATAAATCTGCTTTTCTTCTTTCAACCTCTTATTTGTTTGTGTTAAATGAACAATTCCATTTTTTCTTTTGTGTCTGTAAACTCACCTCTCTGCCCGTCAGTATGTGTCGTGCCAGCTTGACCTTGGCGAAGTTGCCCTTGCCGATGGTTTTGAGCAGCCGGTAGTTTCCGATGTGCGGCTGCTCGTCCGAACACAAGGCGATGGAGTTGCGACATCGGGCGCCGAGCGAGCGGCTCGACCAGCCGGTACCCTTCTCTGAGCGGCTGGCCGACAGGGAGGTATGCTGAGGAGAGAGACACGGATCAACCAGTGAGCACACGAACCCGCATTCTGCAGAAGGTTGGTTTAGTTTTTCCTCGTGCAAAAATGTCCAAACAGTGCAAGCCACATTAAATTAAACACAAGTGTTCCTTCGCTGTCGTTGCACAGTGCAAAACAAAATAGATGTGCAAATATCCATCCATCCATCATCTATACACCGCTTAATCCTCACGAGGGTCTGTCCCAGCTGACTCAGGGTGAAGGCAGGTTCACCTGGACAGGTAACCAGTCTATCACAGGGCTACACTTAGAGACAGACAACCAAGCACACTCACATTCACACCTACGGACAATTTACAATCACCAATTAACCTCAACATGTTTCTGGACTGTGGGAGGAAGCCGGAGAACCCGGAGAGAACCCACGCTGCACGGGGAGAACATGGAGACTCCACGCAGAAAGATGTGCAAATATAAAATCTAAAAATCTAAAAGAAGAATCGTATGTGAGTGCATCTGTTTAAACTTTTTTTTGGTGCAAAAACAACAGACGAACTGATGTCGCACTTCCACATATTGCACATTTGCTGAACACGTCTGAAAAAGTGTCAGTTTAAAGTGGTGCAAAAAATTACATATATGATGCAGCTGCATACTAACATGTGTAAACGTGTAGTTTCAGTAAATTATTGCAAGGTGCACGAGGTAGTAAAGCAACAGGTGTAAAGGAAATGGAAGAAATTATGAGACCTGATAAACAGAGTAAAATTAATGTGTAAAAATATTCTTTAAAAAGAAGAAAATAGCAGCAGTATTAAGATAATTTATGGACAAACAGTCTCTGATCTTTTACCATTTTGCTAGAAACTCTGATAACTGGTGTTCACATGAGACCAGCCATGTTTTAAATGAGTGGACCTCTCCTTTTCGTCTTCCTCCCTGTGGTCACAGAGCATCAACAGAGCGCCCAGCGAAGCCCTCGTGACCGTGACTCGGCAGTCATGTGATTGCAGCCTGGTACCAGACAGCCAGAGATGAAAAGAAAGAGCAACCAGGTCACCTATGAATCCCATCCGACCCCTCGCGGCCTGCATTCCTCACATTCATGTGTGGCTGCGGAGGCCACCGATGTTGCCGTGCCGTTCGTCCGACGAGACGCCGATTAAAACAGTTTGTGCTCAGCTTGTCCGGCCTGTTTGAAACCAGAGCTCGCTGTGGCCGAGTGTCAGAATCCAGGGCGGATCGATGAGCCGCCCGACGTCGTCTAGCCACAGCGACTAGACGTCAGCGGCCTCGCAGCTACATAACCGCGAGGAAAGCAGCGCATGAGGGGTCAGACGGGATTCAGAGGTGACCCGGTTACTCCCGACAAATCAGTCGCCTCACATTATGAACTCCACCTAAATATTTACCCCGTCCTTCATCCTCGGCGCCAAAAAAACGAGTTTATTCAACTGCAAACTGAAACAAACTCTGGCACAACGAGACCCAAACGAGGTCTTTAAGCACAAACAACAAATTCTAATCCCTCCGTTTGCTGTCCTGGGCGCTGAGGGCAAACAGAAAAACATCCAACGAGGACATCAGACAGAACAGGAAGTATCAGAGCCCGACAGACTCGGTTCCCGTCTGCAGACCTCGAAAACAAAAGAGTCCGAACAGTGTTACATGAAAACGCTGTTAACGGTTCTGTCTGCCAGCTACCGCCCACTTTCAACAGCTTAGACAGAGAAATGACGGAGCTGCGTCAGTCATCGCCTTGCAACACCACGTCAGGGAAGATTCACCGTTTCCTGCAAAAGGACTATTTTGGCAACTCACCACTTTAATCTGTGGGATTCATCAGATAATTCAGTTTTCTTTGGCCGAAACCAGCCTGGGATGATGTACGCTCCCAAACTAGAAGTAAATATTGGTTGTAAAAGTCACCCGGAGTGGCGCTATTGGTCACTGGAAGTCTGCAGAGTCAAAAACAAACTGGAAGCACAAAAGCATGGCGACTCCAGCTCAGGATCTTTTACCACATCGTCCCACATCAAGTTGCACAATCGTTCCTGTTTCCTTCTGGTTAGACCTCATTAATCATGTGCAAACGAAGCCACTGGTAGAGTTACGGCGTTGCACAACACACATTAGACGGGAGATATCGGGAAAAAACAGGCTCAGAAGCTGCTTTACTGTCAGAAAAAAACAGTAACTCATGACAAAACCTCAGCAGAAAATCCTACATTTCCACACAATGCCGGCTACACATGAACACAGGGATCATCGGTCGGACAGAAACACATCACCTTGAGGTGCACCCGATGTGTTGACCACAGTGGAGCGCGTGATTTTCCTCCACATGAGAACTTTAGTACCAATATTACTGCCGCTAACACCACTCAGGAAACAAGCTGAGACTTCTACAAAAGTTCTTCCACCTTCATCCACCTTTATCCACCTGCTCCTGAATCTTCTCCTCCCTCCCATCCGTTCATTCGATCGCTAGGAAGACATGTGATCATCCTCCGGGACCCAAAAGGGACTTGACGAGCCTTTTCTTTCCTCCCTACTTCCTAATCTTCCTCTAGCAAAAACACGCAAACAGAAAAGTTGGAAGCCACATTTCTGTCTTACAGCAGCTTCAGAGGAATTCATCGATGTGTTGGATTAAACAAAAGACGGAGAAGAAGGAGAAGGGAAGGTGTCCAACTGGTACTCCGACGTTACTAAAAGCTTCGCTGAGGGGCGCTACGAAGGCTCAACTGGTTGAGCTGGGGTCCCATGTTCAGGGGTTACAGTCCCCGACGCAGAGGTCGTGGGTTCAAGTCCCGCTCATGGGCCTTTCCTGCAGGTCCTTCCCCCATTCTTCTTTCTCCTCCACTTTCCTGTCTCTCTCTCTCTCTCTCTCTCTCTCTCTGGACTTTCATATTGAATAAAGGCACAAAGGCTAAAAAAATAACTCATGTTGGAGTTTATTGTTTAGAAAATGAGCCACCTTCTATTTGTGAACTGTGATTATTTTAACAACGTGAATCAGAAAACGGTTCACTTTGAGGATTGAACCTCAGAGATTTTCTGAGCTCAGAAGCAGAAAGAATCTAAACTTTCTGATTGCATTATTTATATTTTAGACGCCAGCAGCAGCAGCTTCTGAGCATTTTAAAAGGGAACACGGAGGCGTTTCAGAGCGTTAATGGTGCTCGAGCCACCCAACAGCTGTGCTCCCTGTCCAACTTATTCAGCCACCTTCATTTTCACCTCCTCCTCACCCTTCCCCCCCACATTTATTCACCCCTATTCCCATCCCCCAGACAAATCAATTTGCCTCCCCTTCCCCTCTATTCTCCCCTCCGTGCCTGGACACGCCCTCTCTTTTGTCTCCCGCCGCTATCTTCATTTTCGGCGACCTCGCATCAATTTGAGCTCCGTGCTGAACTCCCGTCTCGCCTCCCCTCCCCCCTCCTCGCGCCTCCCAGGTCCCACGTACTCCTTCTCCGGGAGTCCATCGATTCGCCTGCTCCTTCTGATTACCACGCAGTTTCATTGAAGACCAGGCCTCTGTGTGTGTGTGTGTGTGGATGCATACGATGGGGTCTCTGACGCTGGCAGCGAAGGTATTTGGGTGGTAGCTCCAACCCCCAACATCATTATGAATGTAAGGTGACATTTGGTGTGGAAGATGGATGTGGGTGGGGGGCTGTGGGGTGGGTAGGTGTGTCTGCATGCGTGTGGTTGTTAACATGTTATCTGCACATTCAGCAAACAACCTGCACCGAGCAAACTGCAGCATTTGTCCTGCATCTTTTCTGTTGTGAGAGAAGCTCGATGGAAGCAACTGAGACTAAACACATATAATAAGTTTATACTGAGGAGCTTGCCATTTGAAATGCTTGAAGTCTTTACTTCTGTGTGATGTTCTGAGCTGAGTTAACAGCAAAGACAAAAATCCCTTTACATTAACTTACTGTGACCAACCAGGCTCTTGTCATCGGCTAAACAAAGTCGGTATTTATCACTTTAAACTCCCGTGTGGCTGATAGTGGAGACAGCTTGATGTTATTTAAACAACATGTTCTTTACTTGAGAAGTCCCCAAAGATAACTCACAGAGAAAAATCTGTCCGTGTCTGTTTCACAGTACGCTCATGATAATGTGTGAACAAAACACGGAAACATTTTTTCATGTGCCGACACTTTAACCCATGAGCAAGTTGGTCTTTTAGCCTCTTAAGACCTGGTGGTGCATTTCGGGTTTTATTACAAAAAAATAGTTAACTTCTAAATTAATTTAAAAAAAACAAAAAACATTATTATTATTTTTTCATTGTTATTTATTTTTGTATTTTTATTTTAAAAATATTTTTATAATCCATGTATTTTTAATTATTTTTTAATTTATTTTTTAGAATATATATATTCAATATAATATATATAATATCATTCTATATATAATATTATAATATATATTTAAAAATCTTTTATTTAAAGATATTTTTAGTATTATTTTATTATTTATTTTTATTTTATTATTGTTATTTTATTTATATTTTATTTTTATTACCACAGTAGTTTATTTTTTTATTTTAAAAAATATTTGTATTATTTTAATATTGTTATTTATTTATTTATTTAAAAAATATTTTTAGATATATATTTTTAATATATTTTAATTTTCTTTATGTTTTTTTAATTTTTTATTTCTCTTTGATCAGATCAAATAGCAACAAGAAATTTAAAAAAAAATGCATATCAAACAAGAGCTCGGGTCTTAAAAGGCTAAATAATAAAAACCCTAAATGCAGGTTTTATCCTATTTTATTTCCCATGTTTCAAAAACAAGCATTAGCATATATTATAAGGAAATGAACAAAACAGCAATATTAAAGCCAGTCTTTTGAAAATGGGGGAAAAAAAACACATAAAATGACTCAATTTGGACTCTTCTGAAGCAGTAAAATTTAAACTCCTTTGGTCCAAAACATATAAAAACAGACCCTGAACAGACCATGCAGTGAGGTAAACACGATTAAAGAATAAT